AATGTCAGTCTAGATGTCCACCCTTGACCAATCCTCAGACCAACAGTGTGTTGATATACCTAGATTGTGAGTATAGAGTGTGGACACATGTCAGTCTAGTAGTTCTGCCCTGACCAGTCCGCAGACCACCAGTGTGTTGGTATATCTTTATTTGGATTTTATAGTAGTAGTCTAGTCCTGATCAATGTCCTATCAACAGCTATGGCCATTTAAAGACGGTCCCCCCTGTGTGCAAGATGCATGCGAGTAGTGTATTCGTGTGTGTTTTGGAGGGCTGCAATATGTTCGTGATTGTCTCCTGGTGACAGCGCGGAACTGATGCCGACTTTATAGTGCTACCTCACTGAAACATACTGCTGAAGACACCCAGCAGGACACCCCATCCGGTCACATTATACTGAAAACGGGCGAACCAGTCGTCTCACTCCTAAATTTCTGAGCGTTAAGCAGGAGTAGAAACTACCATATAGTCTCGACCAGGGAACAGAACTCAAATCCTTCCTCACTGGGGCGAACGCTAAACTCAAGTCCAAAAATAAGGCATTGTCAAGGGAGACATAAGGAAATCCCAAATTTAGTCCCCTCTTACGATCAGGCAATGGGGGCAGCATATACAAGTATTACGCCCTACCAGCAGGGACTTTAGGAACATAATTAAGACGTCGACCAACTAAAATTGAATAGAGGCGGAAAGTAGCATCACACCAAACGGAGCATTTTCAATATATTCAAATTTGTTTTTATTCAGACATCACGTGGTGGGGTATCATTTGAACAACGCTTAATATATTTTTGTCAAAAAAAAAAGAAGTGGCGTGTCATCATGGGGGAACTTCATATCTGTAATATAATCTTGATTGCATGTATTAGGATGTTGAATCTCATCGCATTACACAAATGTTTATAATGGTTTTTTTTTATTTCGAGTATTTTCATAGCGTCCTATACGGCTTCTTTTCATGTGTTAAATGTTAGTACTGCTTACTGGTTGCCAGGCTAGTCTTCAAATTCATGTCCGCTTTTCATCATATTTATGTTTACATGACTGAAGGCTATCTGTAGCATATTTTAAGAACCTTACGGACATATCGACCTTAAAATACCACATTACACAAACAAACATGTCTATATAACCTAGTGTTTAAATCTAGTCTCATCACAGCTGACTGCACACAAAACTCCTCTGTCGTGGTGACCTTGTACTGATATACAAATATCTGGTTCGCAAAAGACGTAGACTTTACCCGCATACCAGACAGCTGTGTAGTTAATACAATATGAGTAGATAGGACACACGCCTCTTTCGTAGGGCGAACTTTAGGTCAACAAGCTTATCAAAATATTCCTTTTCTCAATATCTAAAATATCCGCTGGTGTCCTATCGACTGGCATATATAATGTTGTTTATGTTCTTAAGTTTCAGTTCTGTTCATAGTGTTGGTTCACCCTGTTTTGTTTTGGTTTGACTGTTGTCACACTATGTACTAGTATTTCTGTTGTTACCCTATGTACCAGTATTACTGTTTTCATCCTATGTACTTTGTTTAACGTTGTCACTATATGCAATGATATTTCTGATGTCACCGTATGTACAAGTCTAACTGTTGTCAATTTATGTACAAGCATTACTCGTGTCACCCTATGTACTAGTATTACTGTTGTCGCCCTATGTACTAGTATTATTGTTGTTACCCCATATACTAGTCTTACGACTGTTACCCTATGTACAAGTAAATCGGTTTTCATCCTATGCACAAAATATTACAGTCATAACCCTACATATATTAACAATTATTATTGTTGTCACCCTATGTACTAGGATTATTGTTGTCACCCTATGTACTAGTATTACTTTGTTACCCTATGTACTAGTATTACCGTTGTCACCCTCGGTACTAGTATTACTGTTATCACCTATGCATCTGTACAACTGTTGTCACCCTATGTACTAGTACAACTGTTGTAATCTTATGTTCAAGTATAACTGTTGTTACCCTTTGTACTAGCAAAACTGTTGTCATCCTATGCACTAAATATTACTGTCATAATCCTACATATAATTACTATTATTACTGTTGTCACCCTATGTACTAGGATTATTGTTGCCACCCTATGTACTAGTATTACTTTTGTCACTATATATACGAGTATCATTGTTGTCACTCTATGTAATAGTATTACTGTTGCCAACCTATGTACTAGTATTACCCTGGACCTTTTGGTTATTCAGAAGAAGTTGTTTAAATATTTTAAGACAATTGACCCCTGCTACCTTGAATATGGACGAAGGTCATTCATTTGAACAAACTTGGTAGCTTTTCATGCCAACATTATTCTGGCCAAATATCATCACCCTGGACCTTTTGATTATACAGGCGAAGTCGTTTAAAAGATTTAAAGACAATTGACTCCTTTGACCTTGAATATAAGTGAAGGTCATTTGTTTGAACAAACTTGTTAGCCCTTCATGCCAACATCCTTCTGGCCAAATATCACCCTGGACCTTTTGGTTATACAAAAGCAGTTGTTTAAATATTTGAAGATATTTGACCCCTGTTAACTTGAATATGGTTGAAGGTCATTTATTTGAACAAACTTGGTAGCCCTTCATGCCAAAATCCTTCTGGCCAAAAATCATCACCCTGGACCTTTTGGTTATACAGGTGAAGTCGTTTAAAGGTTTTTAAGAAAATTGACCCCTTTGACCTTGAATTTGAGTGAAGGTCATTTGTAAAAACAAACTTGGTAACCCTTCATGCCTGCATGCTACTGGCCAAATTTCATCACCCTGAAGCTTTTGGTTATTCAGAAGAAGTTTTTGAAATATTTGAAGATGTTTGACCCCTGTGAACTTGAATATGGTTGAAGGTCATTCATTTGAACAAACTTGGTAGCTTTTCATGCCAAAATCCTTCTGGTAAAAAATCATCACCCTGGACCTTTTGATTATACAGGCGAAGTCGTTTAAAGGATTTAAAGACAATTGACTCCTTTGACCTTGAATATAAGTGAAGGTCATTTGTTTGAACAAACTTGTTAGCCCTTCATGCCAACATCCTTCTGGCCAAATATCACCCTGAACCTTTTGGTTATACAAAAGCAGTTGTTTAAATATTTGAAGATATCTGACCCCTGTTAACTTGAATATGGTTGAAGGTCATTCATTTGAACAAACTTGGTAGCCCTTCATGCCAAAATCCTTCTGGCCAAAAATCATCACCCTGGACCTTTTGGTTATACAGGTGAAGTCGTTTAAAGGTTTTTAAGAAAATTGACCCCTTTGACCTTGAATGTGAGTGAAGGTCATTTGTAAAAACAAACTTGGTAGCCCTTCATGCATGCATGCTACTGGCCAAATTTCATAACCCTGGACCTTTTGGTTATTCAGAAGAAGTTGTTTAAATATTTGAAGATATTTGACCCCTGTTAACTTGAATATGGTTGAAGGTCATTCATTTGAACAAACCTGGTAGCCCTTCATGCTAAAATCCTTCTGGCCAAAAATCATCACCCTGGACCTTTTGGTTATACAGGTGAAGTCGTTTAAAGGTTTTTAAGACAATTCACCCTTTTGACCTTGAATGTGAGTGAAGGTCATTTGTATAAACAAACTTGGTAGCCCTTCACGCCTGCATGCTACTGGCCAAATTTCATCACCCTGAAGCTGTTGGTTATTCAGAAGAAGTTGTTTAAATATTTGAAGATATTTAACCCATGTGAACTTGAATATTTGTGAAGGTCATTCATTTGAACAAACATTGTAGCCATTTATCCAAGTATGCTACAAATATCAACAGCCTCGATCTCTTGGCTATTTAGAAGAAATTGTTAAAAAGTGTAAACATATTTGACCCCCCCC